GATGTGTTGATTCTCATGGAGCTGACAGAAAACACATTAGACAACGTCAGAGTTTAAAGCTGCTCTGATGTGGCAATTCATTTATGCAGAATCAAAGCCTTAAACTAAAGCTAACATAAAAAAAATAATTAAAAACTTTTTTTTCGCTGTCTTGAAAGTACTAGTATCTCCTTCAGGAAATGCAAATATAGTTTATATGCAAGCACCATGCCCGAGAACACATTTTAGTTTATGTTTACATCTTAATGCCTTAATTGAAGAACAAGGTCACAAACAAGCTAAAAAAGGCAGCTCTGTCAATAAAAAGAAACTCATTGCTGCCTGAGGAAAAATTCCTACTCCATACACATTGAACTGAAGTAAGTACTTACATGTTTTATGGACTTTTTTCTTTCTTGAGATCTTTAACAGCTTCAAGCCACTGTGCTTAATATAGACATAATGTTTTACATTCTCAAATAACATTTGCACCATAAAACATCTCTACTTACTACCAGTATGAGTGTGTGTGTCTTTCTCAGGGCAGGGTAGGTTTATATGTTTGTGAGTTTACAATTTATTGCAGTCATTTGAAGCTGCAGAGGGCAGAGACAGTTTGAACTCAGGGGTGTTTATGAAAGATATTGACAAATGCAACATGTACAGAAGCAGGTCAGAGGTTTAAGCACCTTCATTCATCTCCAGTACTGCTGTTCTGCTCCCTTCAGCACCATTATAATGTTATTACCTTACACTGATGGGGCTCCGCAAACTATTAGGCTTTAAATAGATCAGGTATTTTCATCAAATGAGTGTTTTTGACTAGCAGTACTCGGGCATAATTTGGCCACATAACAGCATCTTTCTGCAGTAAAATAATTCACGTTGTGGATAGATAGATAGATCAAAGTCATGTATTGGCACATCAGAGTGTTTTTTGCAACAAATTAACAACAAAAAACTCCTGTAAACCTCTGTACTCTGGAAAAAGCATGGATTTTTATATGTCTGCTTAACATTTCTTTTGAGAGAGGTATTATTTTTCCGTTTTTTACCCAAAATATGATGGATTGGCCATTATTGAGTGCTATAAACACATGTAATGTGTGTTTCATTCATACTCCACATGCATCATAGAAGTAACACTGATGACGTTCCAGGAAATCCCTAATATGGATAAAGGCATTGCTATAGCCTATCACTGTAACTGAATAAAAAGAAGATATAACCTTAAACGTTTTGAATGATGAAATGTAAGGACAATAAACACTCTCCTGCGACAATATATAGTTTATCTGTATTCTTCAAGCCATCTCGGGTATTTTCATAATGATTAAGTATATTTGTAAGCCATTTCTAATCGTCATTGCCTTTATTTCATTATATAATATATTCTGTGATAAGAAGGCACATCAGATCACAAAAGGAAATTATTTCAAACACTCGACTGATGTTGTGAAGTAAAAACAAGTTATAATGTTCTTATTTGTTGGACAACAGGTTTAGAAAGGCTTATCATTGCATGTCATTACAAGGGTTGATGCTCGGCGTGTGTTGCTTTTTCAAATATAAACGGGGAGGCGTTTCCTCATCTCAGCACGTGAACTCACGGGCACACACACAAACACACACAGCCAATTCTGAGAGAAATAAAACACACAGAAATTATTTAAACACAAAACTGCAATTCAGGAGCGCGTATTGAACCGTGGATGTCGTACCGAACAGTTCAATATTATATAGAGAATTGTGACATCCCTAATAGATAGATAGATAGATAGATAGATAGAACAGCAGTTAAAATGAACTATAGAATGATAAATCGAATGAATGACAGAACGTTATAACACTAGATAGAACAATGGATGGATAGATGAGATTGAAGTGTGTGCAGTGTTTCTCTGGATGCAGGTCTTCTTGGCTTAAGTGAAGTATTACTGTAATAAGCCTTAAGCAAAGTAAATCAATAGAGAAACGGATTGCTTTTGGTTTGGCTCTGAAGAACCTCTTAACTTATTTCTATTGTCTGTTTATGAATATGGAGTTAATAAGGATCCTTTAAGGGATAGTTACCCACAATTTTTAGTTTGGTCATCATTTACACACCCTTAAGTTGTTCCAAACCTGTATGAATTTCTTTGTTCTGTTGAACAAAAAAAAAAAAAAGATATTTTGAAGAATGTGGGTAACCAAACAGTTGCTGATAGCCATTGACTTGCACAGTATGGGTATTGCTACCCACATTCTTCAAAAGAAATTCATACACATTTGCAACAATATGAGGGTGAGTAAATGATGACCACATTTTCATTTTTGGGTGAACTATCCCTTTAAAGCTTTATTTGTGTGTGTGTGTGTGTGAATGAGCAGATGAGGGACAGAGAGAGTCCTTCCAGTACAGAGTCGCTGCAGAAGTGACACTTGACTTAGACAGAAGGTACTTTTCATCAGCAGACACTCAGGGTCACACCTCTTGCTGGTGCAATCACACTGTATGTAACACGGATTAGAGCAGGCTTTTCTCTCTCTCATGCCATTTCTCTTTCTCTCCCCCTTTATTTTTATCCTCTCTCTTGGTGTGTACATGTGCGCTTGTAAACAGCAGTGTCAACAAGACAAAAACATGCATGTTATTTGTTAAGCCTACCATTTTACATCCATATTTATTCTTCAAAAATATGGCTAAACGCACCCATCCATAATTAATGTGGCCATATGTATTCATCAATGCATCCAGCTAATGCTGTTATTCAAAGTGATTTGAAGCTAGGAGTGGATCAATATCAAACCTTGGCGTTACCAGCCTTTGAAACCTTAGCATCAATATTAAATCAATATCTTAGGCAACAAATAAACAGCCTCGGTCAACTGATCAAAGGAACCTAGGGCTGTCAAAGCATTCAATAATTAAATGTCAATAACAATAGTATTTCATGATTAACTTCATTGTTTTAGCACATTTGTGTCCTTTTTAAGGAGGAGAAACAAAATAAAGTGTTCATTTATTTAACACCTAACTGGTGTTGTTATTGTTATTTAAAAGTATTAAAAATGGTTTTCGTTAATTGAAATGAAGCTTAAGAAAAATACACATATTATATGAAAAGCTGAAGATCTAAAAGTAAAGCTAAAATAAAATAACGCTAAAAATTAATAAAAAGGACAAAAGCATATAAAATTATTTAAACTTTAAAATTGAAATGAAAACAAAATGCAAAAATAAAATCTGATTTGAAATACTAATAAACACTATAAATAGTACTAAAATTATACGGCACATAAGCAAAGACAGGACCGAGAAATATTTCTACAACAGTGCTCACAGACTCAAAATGCATCAATGCATCAAAACACACAGGCAATACAAAAACTGAACTCGATGCAAATCTGGAACAAGAACTTCCCATACATTTTATTTAAAAACAAAACAAAACAAAACAAAACAAAGCTTTAGTAAACATTCCAGTCTGATTCATTAATTAATCATTTTTGTGAGCTGGTTGAAACGATTCATCAATAAGATGAATGCGTTTGCAGCGATGGCGCCGCAGACGGCAGCCTCAGTGTTTGGCTCTCCAGTGTTTGTATTGTTTTTGTTAGTTTTTCCTGTTTTTTGTTTCTCAAATCACTCTGGATCCATCACATCCAAGCCATCTCCTTTTTGAACTTTTGCCATCTGGTCGGCGTTACAGAGCACCGAATACCAGGACAGCAAGGCACAAGAACAGTTTCTTTCCCCAGGCAATCTGCCTCATGAACAGTTAATGTTCTCCCATTGTGCAATTAAAGTATGTGCAATAACCTTATACCTATTTATCACCTAAACCCTAGTACATCCCTACAACTTATTTTATTTTATTCTATTCCTATTCCATCTATAGCACACCTGTACATACAATTTATTCTTTTTTTTTTGTGGTTTATATTTATGCATGTGTATTTTATTCACATCTCATTTTTATTATCTGTGTGTTGTTGTTGTCTCCGTGTACTGGAAGCTTGTGACACTATAACAAATTCCTTGTATGTGCAAACATACTTGGCAATAAAGCTCTTTCTGATTCTGATTCTGATTTCTGATTCTGAGATCTTATTCAAAAGAATGATCATATTATTCAGCCGGTTTATCGTGGAGAGCTGTGACAGTGCTGCTAACCTCATTTGCCACATTGAAGCATTGTATTTTCCCTTTTACAATAAATGTCTTGGTGCTGCCCATTTACCAAACAGAACAAATGAAAGGACAAGTTATAACTATAAATTATAGGTTGTCTCACGCCTTTTACACAAAAAGGCAGTGTAAAACAGTTCTTTGGGTTAATTAGCTGCTCTATAAACAAGTGAATAATTACCATTATCTCTGAGTCAGTGAGTCAGCCCACTATTTTTCTGAGGAACTCAGTGTAGCGTGGAAAGCACTATGTTCATATATACACTGTAAAAAAAAATTCCATAAAATTTACGGTAGAAAATCGGCAGCTGTGGTTGCCAGAATTTTACAGTAAAAATTACGGTAGCAACGTGTAAGGTTTTACGGTTTTAACTTAAATTTATAGTTTAATTTCATTAATTGATATAATGTTGCAATAAACATTCATTTAACAACATTAGGTGTAACACACAACCCTAATATACAAAACTGATAAGAAAAAACTAAGAAAAAACATAGTTATTTCAACTAAAAAACATCAAATTTGAAATGTAACGCAGGGAATTATGGGAATGTCAATTTACAGTAAAATTGTACAGTCTTTTTCACTTCCAAAAACGGTATAATTGTACCGTAAAATTAATAAATACCAATACATGTAATGTCCAATACAGTTTTTCACCGTATATAGTAGAGCAATTTACTGTTAACCATTTAACAGATTTTTACTGTAGCATTTTTACAGTCTTTTACCGTTAAATTCACGGTCAATTTTTACAGTTATTAGAGGAGCTGTTATTTTGCTAATAGTACCATCGATATTAAATTAACCATCTAAAATGTATGCTCAATCTATTATTTTTTTCTGCAGCTCTGATATCGGCTGGCTGTTGCACCAGCTCCTGTAGAAATGTCAAGCTTTGGGACAGGTAAGGCTCACATCTGTACTGTACAGTGCACATGTATGTTATTAATGCATAAAACAGCTCGAAAGAGCATTGGTTTGATGATATTTCATATGGTTATATTTGTGTTTGTGTGTTTACACTTAGAATAGTGTAGTACACCAACATTCAAAAGTTTGGGGTCAGTACATTTTTATTTTTGGACAAATTAATACTTCTATTCAGCAATGATGAATTAAACTAATCAATTCAATTCAAATAAATGCTGTTCTTTTGTTAATGATGCAGCAGATTTAATTGCAGAATATTTCCACCTTCAGGACAGCATTAGAATAGTTTGCCCTCTGAATTTGCTAAGCACAAATCAGCTTTTACACACACACACACACACACACACACACACACACACACACACACACACACAGACACACACACACACA